CTGTAGGCGAGATTCCTACTTACCTGATTTACAGAGCTGGAATCCACTTTTCGCCAAACAGCCTATTCTCTTACTTGCTTACTTCTGAAAATGAACACCCATTGAGAGTGTGAGATTATCTGTCGTTTGCTATTTTATTTTAGTAGCTTATGAAGGAAATCCAGCCCTTTACTTAAGGCATGTATTCCTTTCCTTTACTGAAGGATAATTTACTATAAGGATCAATTTATTAAATCCTCAAAATCTTATTTTTCTTAATTGCCCTTAGCATACTTATGTCTAGGTTGAAAATCATTTACCCAATCTAGTAACTTATTCTCCATAATTTTTCCTCATTGGACTCATTATATTATTAAGGCCCAATTCGGCCTAGAAACTTATTCACGGCATTCTAGCTCTTAGGCCGTTGAAATTTAAACTCTAACGGAGTCTCTTAATTGAATGCGGGCGTTGGACCCACATCAAATCCTCAAATTTCTAAGGACCTATCGTGTTGGGCTTGTAAGTGCCCGTCGGGATGTTTTGCTCGAAAACTATTAACCTTTTAAAAGAACTATCATTCTATTTTTATGAAACGATAACTCACTCATTTAGTTACAAGCACTAAAATCCCGTTGTAAAATCTCTTTTCGAATATCGACTTTTGAAAACTATTCCCCAAGTCGTTTTACGGTTGGCTTGTAAACCACCGTGAAACTATGTTGTAGAAACCCTTTTTCTTGAAATCTTTCTTCATGGCTATTCCTCATTAAAGTGAGGTCTAAAACCATATTATTTTACTGAAATCACATCTTGGATTCTTTGATAACCTTTTGTTAAAAAGGTCACTGTTTTAGTTTCGTTTTGTTAAAACTGTACAGTTTCTGAAATCTGTATTTCACTGCATCTTGGACTTGGATTTTGAAAATCTGTCCTTCACAACAATTCTTCGACTCGTCGAGATCTAAAATTGTCATTTTTGGATAAAGTTAAAATTCAGCCTCTAAAGGCCTCGTTTGGCTGAAAACAGTGGCTGCTATTTTTTTTCTTTTGCTGTAGCAATCCTTTTAAAAATGCTATAGAATTGCTATAGCAATCTTCTAATATTTGCTGTAGCAATCTTTTTGAAAAGGTTTTAGGATTGCTGTAGCAATCTCTTTTAAAATGCTGTAGGATGCTGCAGCAAATCTTCTTTTAAAAATGCTGTAGGATTGCTGTAGCAATCGCCCCTTTTTTCTATTTCCGAAACTGTGTTTGACAGCCCGTCCGTTTTTACAAACTGGCTTCAAACTTGCTTTTAGAGTTAAAATTGGGTTTTATCATAGTCATAGAAAATGTTCAAAAATCGAGGGCGATAAGTTCAAGCTTTGAAACATTGAAAAATCTCGCTCTAGGGTTCTTATTTTCGCGTTCAAAGTGACTGGAAATTTTTCCTCTATCTGGAAATAAGCAAACTTAAATCAAGCATAATCATACCACATTAAACTAACCTCATAACTCACAAAACTAACATAAAACTCACACACCCTTATTACAACATATCTTCCTCAAGAACCACAAATTTACATCCATAAATCTAAGCTTAAGGTTGGCTAGAAATTAATGGAGAAGAGTTTGAGAACTTACCCTTGAAGAACTCTCTCTCTCCCTTGAAAACCTTTGAACTCCTCTAAGATTTGTTAATGGCTTGAAACTAGCAAGTATAAGGAAATTCAAGAGGAATATTTCTACATTTCAAACTTTACTAAAACATAAAAAGAGAGGGTTTAGAGTTTCCTTACCCTTGGAGGAATGCTTGACTAGTCTCCTCCTAGACCCTTTGATCTCTTTCTTCTTCTTCTATGGTTTGCTAGTGGCTCAAGATTGGAAGAGTGGAGAAAAATATTTGAGAGGAAATGTTCGGATTTTTTGAGTGGGGAAAAAGCTAGGAGAAAAAAAATGAAGCTTATCCTATGTTGGTTCCTTTTATAGGCAACTTGGAAATTATTTTTTTAACACCAATT